ACACACACACACACACACACTGAAATGGGACGGGACAGAAGTGGAAGGTGGCTTTTAAAGAGACAGAGGCCAATTTCAAGGCATTTAGAAAAGCAAGTGATGAGAAGATAAGTTTATTTTCTATTTAAACATAAAAACAGCATTTTAATAACAACTAAAGGTGACATAGATACTTTATTATGGTATAGCATTTAAATGCATGCCTGAGAAACACATAATATTGGCCCTTTAATAATTTTACATTACAAAAAACTGGCAATTTCAAAGGAGTAGAGCTCTTTGTCTATCCACTTTGAGTGGAACATAGTTACTTTAAGAAATCTCAGTAGTCTTATTCAAAAGATTAAATCTTGAATGTGACATATGACTCAATCAGTAAATGAATCAAAAACAGCTGAATCCAGTATTTGTGTTTGGGTATATTTTAATGCAGATGTTCAGTCAGTAGCGGAGGATGTTGAACAAATTTTAGGAGATAAACCTGTAAAAGTTGAATGGCCTCCCTTTAGCTTGCTGCTTTCTGTTACAGTCAGTAGGATACAGAGGACAAACACAGGCTTTCCCTACAATCTGAACCAGAACCAGATGAAACATCAAGTGGAAATCAAACAGTGACAAAGTCCGCATTTTTCACATAATGCAAATAAACACAATACATTATTGCCAGCAGGAAATAAACATTGTGACAGAAACTGCATTAACATGCGTATAGAAATAAATTAAAAAACAAGCTATAAATCTAAACATGTTTTATATGATGCATTTGATTCAACTTCAATAGTTAACTGTTCCAGGTTCAAAGGTAAAGACATTCAGTTTTACAGAAAGAGACAGAACAAGACTGCAGGTCATTTAAAGCTGTTAAATCTACTACATAAAGACACAATCAAACACAATCCAAATAAATACAAAGTAAGAATCATCTGGATGTGATGCATCAGTCCAATACTGAAGACGTAAAAAAATAAAATGCTTTAGTTTCAAATGCTGCAACCTCATTTAAACAACATTTTGTGACCTAAATTACTGTAGTTTGCTCTCATGACCAAAACTCATCCCTGTGGCTCAAGAGATTTGTTTTTGTGTGTGTGTCAGGATGAAAAGTCAGAGTCGTGTCTGTATTTCAGTATCGCCTGCCACCAACAATGTTTTTGCCTGTGTGTGTCTGTATGTGTCTATCTGTCATCATGGCGTCAACATAATCTGACCGTTTCAAAGAAGTGGCTATAATCCAGCCAATTTTAAGAATGTTGAGCTAAAATTTGGTGTGGTGGTAGCTGATCATCACCCCCAACTTATACTTTGAACATTACACATTGCATGATATTTTTGCTCAAAACTTTGGCATTATTAATTGGCGTCAGCCCTGTCTGTTAGCAAAATGTGTTATGAACCATTACACAAATTTTTATGAAACTGATTAACTTTGGGGTGAACCTGATTAAAGATGGCCAGTACAGCTAATCGACCTTAGCCATGACAAAACTGTCTATAATTCCGTCATTTTTACGGATATTGAGCTAGTATTAGATTAGCTGAGAGACGTCTTACCACACATCTCAAGATCTGTCAAGAGCTTGGAAAATTGCATGAAATTGCAGAACATTTACAATGTTTGGCCAACATAGTTCTAACTTGAATCCTTTTCAGGATAAGATGATCTTAGTTTAAAACTGGATATGATTGTAGTAAATATGGATTCTTTAAAGGAATGCTCCATTATCTGCAACTCGGATGCAATCATGACCAAAAATGGATGAAATTAAGCATCTTGGTAAAACAATCCCTAAAGGCACCCTGTGGAGTTTGTGTGGCATTATGAAGAATCTGAGCTGGTTTCTCTTACTTTCAGTATACGCAACTAGCACACAAATGCACATGCACAAGAACATTCCTCCCAAAACTTGGGAGAAAAGATCAAACATCTCCGATAGTGAGAGGTCAAGAAATGTAGCAATGAACAACAAAACATCACATGGAGCATTAAGTAGAAAATATAATACAGTGACACCATGGTGGTAATTAATTATCAGCAAAACAGTAATTATGACATCACAGGAAATCAATCAGCAAAGTAGTGTTCACTGTGTGAGCTTTGGGTCCACATATCAACCATTTTATCAAGGAACAGGAGCAGAAATGGCACGTTTACAATCAAATCCCTTCCATGATATAAATAATTCTTTACAAACTCAAATGTTTGGTCAGTCAGCAAACTAAAATAAAAACACCCTGGGAAAGTGGGATGTCTGCCAGTGCTTTCGTCTTAAGACAACAAAAGGTTAGGACCCTCTCCTTCAGCGCAGCATCATCACTTCCTTCCTGTCTCTTGTGCTTCCATCCTTTACTGAGCAACAGCCTGCAGTGGTTTTCCTCACAGCGACATCACCCGATGATGTCATAGAGTCTGCCGACACGGCCGAGCCACTCGCGCAGCGTGTGGCGGACACGGGTGTCCGTCACGTGACAGGAGAGCTGGCTGAGGCAGGGGTAGAGCGCCGGCTGCAGAGCCAGGAACGAGGAGTCCGACAGGAGGAGGACCTGGTTCAGGAGAGTCAGGACCATGTTGGTCCACGCCTGCAGGAGCCAAGGTTTACGGATCAGCACAGGGTCAAACTGAGGCATGCAGATATTACTTGGTGCACACTATTCCTGCAGGTACTGCAGTTTGAAGCTATGCAAGGAGGGGCGAAACAAACTGCAGTTCTGAAGAACGCCAATGCAACAACTACTCAACATTAAACCAGACATAAACTTTCTACTTTTTACAGCCCAGTAGTAATTTGTGACTTACTCCTGCAATAATCTAAACCAACAAAATGCTTAATCTATTAAATTATAAAAAGTCAGAAATGCAGACTTGAAAGTAAACCTTAGTTTTCACACAATGATGGTTTGTCTATCAGTCATGAGAAATCCCTGAACTAAGTGTCACAAGCATCTCGTTTTTTCTATGTCCGCTGTGTTTTATATGTTTTATGAGACAATCTAAAAAATACCTTTTACTTCCAGTTCTGAAGGGGAAATTTGGAGCACCATCAGAATGGAAATCTATGAGAGTTTAGATGTGTGCAATTTGCATTTTAGGAAGACTAGAGATAACTCTGTAAGAAGTATTAAGTTGTAAAAAAGCATTATGTAGTGTCTAAGAGTGGGGGCCTCTTCTCAGGAATGCACAGATGTGTTATGTCTCTCTTAGTTCTCCAGCTTCAGAGCTCGGCACATATTACCATATTAGGAAAGGAATGCTTAAGGGATACCGTGACAAAATTTATGGTGCCTCTGTTGAACTACACTGTGCAACCTATAAAAAAGGCTTGTACGCCCCTACTCTTCGCCTTCGTTCTTCATCTTTTTTACTTGGTGATTCATTTGGCTTGGAGGCCACAATTTGGTTTTTGGCTGTAATCTCCTGGACTGCAAAATAAAGATTCTTGCTGTTCAACCATCCTGTTTCAGAGTTTCTCTCTTCATTGAGCAGAAGCAGTTCCGCTGAACCCAGAAGACGTGGTTTTTACACCTCACGTTGGTTTGCAAAAGATTTTTGGAACATTAAAACAGGTGAAAAGTTAGTGTGTATGATATCACAATAAGTTCAACATTTTAAACTTAAACTAAAAGTAGGCAAAACCCTTTAGAGATATCTAAAATTTCAGTTCAGTCGTGTGAAGTTTGATTTTCTGAAACTTCTTTCAACTTCTAACTTTCTGTCTGAATTGAGCTCCAAAGAAGGATTTTTTTTTTCACTTGTTTCGACAAAATCACAAAAACATCTCTGGGGAAATCTTTTGCATTTTTTGCAAATTTTATTTTAGTCAAATGTTGTTACCAAGGTTTTCAATGATCAAGCTTTGTGATTTGTTATTTTTCTCTAAATGGTAAACGGACTGTACTTATACAGCACCGCTCTATCCAACCAGGATACTTGAAGCACTTTACACTTCAATCTGTGTCCTCATTTACCCATTCACACACTAATCTCTACAAAGCTAATCCAGATAAATCATTCTATGGAGACTAATCGGTGCCTTAAATCACACTCATATATGATATCATATCAGTGTCTTGCCCAGGGACACTTCAACGTGTGTCCTTCAACAGATTAGCAGGAAATCAAGCCCCCAACTCTTTCATTGGAGGACAACTCCCCTAACCACTTAGCCACGGCTTCCTAAATCTCCAAGAGACGATGCAAACAAAAGTTGTTATGAAATCAGACAAATAATCATATTTAATTCAATGACACCTTAAAAACAAAAACACAAAATCCAACCTTAAATTTGACTGTTTTTGACTTGTGACAAATTTGTGACAAATTATTGATGCTAGTTTATACTAAAAAAGTAGATTATTTATTTTTACCTAAAATTTTAGCTTAAAGAGTTTTGTTTTATTTACATTTTAAGAATAAGAATGGTATATTCATTAACACTATATATAGATGGATAGATAGGTGGGTGGGTGGGTAGGTAGGTAGGTAGGTAGGTACAGTAGGTAGGTAGGTAGGTATTTGCACTCTGTGTGAAATTAAATTCATAAAACTGATTCAAAGATTTTAAAAGTTTTTATTTTTGAACATTTTCAGCAGCATATACACTGCTACATTAATAGGGTTACAGGCAAAGCTTTATTCATCATGAAAAAAATCTATATTGGTGTTCATGTAAATTATTGGTTATTGGAGGGGGTAAATAGATATTTGTGTCTATGTATTTTAGTTTCACTGTGTTTTGGATAAACATGACAAGCTTACCAGCTGCCTTCTGGTTAATTACAAACTTGATAACCCAACACATTGGTACTTGTTTTATAACTGCACTGCAGCTGTGTGAATTGTAATCAGTTCACATCATGAGGTCTGTACAGACTCCCTCCCCTAGACGTATCCTTTTTGTTTTATTTGTTTTATTTGTGTAAAACAAACTCACCTGTATCTGAGCCTCGGAGTCCCTCAGGGAGATGCTGTGGGAGCTGATGGTGGATCCTGACCGCGGCCTTTTCTCCTGCCTCAGCACTTCAGGACCCGCGCTGACCGAGTGCCTCAGAGAGGGTCCCTGCTGGTCCACCAGCTGCTGGGGTCTTTGGAGCTCGGCGGGACCCCTCCTCTCCCCTGCTGCCGCCGCTCGGCCCTGCTCCTTCATGAACAGGTTGATGTGGCTCTGCTGCACCGACTGCTGCACCGGCTGCTGCTGCTGGGGCTGCTTCCTGCGTTTGTACTCCATCATGAGCTTGCTGATGGTTTTGTCTGTGGCGATGGTGTACAGTTTGTTGCCGGCGCTTTCCCACCAGTCCCTTCTCCTTCCAGGACCGGCACTGTTAGGAGCTGCTCCTGCCATGCTGGAGTCCCTCTTTTCTCCTCCCATCTGGAAGTGATGTGGCAGGCTGCCTGTGAAGCTGTATAAAACAGGAAAACACCAGATTATATCTTAATGAGACATGTTTTTACTTCAAACTAACATTCAGTCATGATTACTTGACACTGATCTCAGACCTGAATCTGGGACTGGGTGTGTCTCCTGGCGACGCCGAACTCAAGTCCACTCCCTGACCCCTGTACCCGCTTTCCTCTGAAGGGGTCCCTCTTGCTGAGAGCCCGCCTGCTGATGTGGGTGTGGAGGTCTCAGACTGAAAGAGAGGCAGGAAGAAAACATGATCTCCTCCTCCTGCGCCTGTTCCTCTCAGCAGTGGCGTCTCCTCCAGCATGCTCTCCAGGTCCCTGTGCATCTGGATGTAGCTGTTGCACAGATCCATGCACACTTTGTAGAGCCGTTTGACCAGCCAGGCCCAGTCGGCGCCGCCCAGAGGCTGCACGCTGAGCGACGGGACAGGAGCCTGCCACAGGCTGCGCTTCTCCCGACCGCGAGGGGGGCTCACCTGCAAAACAGAAATTAGAATCAACCACAAGCTGCGTTTCCATTGCAAATGTGCGCAAAACTTTGTTGATATTCTGTTAATGTCGAAAAAACACAGTTTTGCAATTGCAGTGTTTCCATTAAGTAAGAAATGCTATTAAAGTCACGCRTGAATACGCTTGTTCTCACGATAAGTCATTACAAACATGGAAGCAATGGATGTAAACACATAGCATATTTGTTACCATGGCACTAGTGCTCATCATCAGAGAAGACGTCGGCGTCTTATCGAGGCTTTCGAGCGACAAGCCCCTTATACTCAGGAGCGGCTATGTATGCTGTGTTTTTGGGAAATTGTAGTCGGTGAGTTTACTACTTTATTTCACAACTTTGGTGATTTTACTACTACTTCTTCTTCCTGTTGTCTTCGTAGTTGTCTTTTTCGCCAGTAGAAACAGCTGGTTGTTGATTATGACTCCTGTGATGCGAAAAAAAAAGTGTTTCCATTGCAGTTTTGCGAAATACACCAATTACGATACTGCCAAAAAACCACCTCATCCCAGCGCAAAAACATTTTGTCGAAAAAAGGAAGTTTTTTAGAAACTGACGTGTTTCCATTGAGCAAATTTATTTTCAAAATTCTAATTTGCACATTTTCATGGTCAATGGAAACGCAGCTACAGACACTTGATTTCAACTCTTTATCTTTACTAATCAAATCCTTCTGTTCCAAACTTTCTACTGTCATGAACAATGTCCAATAACAACACGACATATCTGCACAAGGCTAGAAACAAGCTCCAAGACCATCAGATCGAAGCTTAGTTAGAAACTGTTACTGCGATTATTGCCCTCAGTCTGGAGCCCCATGCAAAAACTTGCTTCATGGGATGAGAACAATGATGGGAACCATGAGGGATCAGTCCATGACTAAGAGGAGCTTATTAAAAGGATGGTCTGGTCATTTACCATTGGCATAGTGGTATATTTGGTCCTAGTTATCAGTAGCATGAACCTTACCAGTCATGACAGTCACAGAATACTGGAGTAGGAAGAAAAAGGCTGAAAACTTTGTCAAGTCTAAGCTAACGGCTAGTGAACCAGGAACCCATTTAGTTTTTTAGATTGTTTTTTATGCTTAAAAATTAAAACTTTCTCATTTCTGTAGTACCAGGACTATTATTTTATTGAGCAAACCAAAAATAAAAGATGTTTAGGTCCTCTGGACAGGTTTTTCATTGTATGAATGAATTAATGAATGAATGAATACTTTATTGATCCTGAGGGGAAATTACAGTTCAGAACACCCATTCACAAGACAGAACATAACCAAACACAGGTGCCCCCAGGTCATGCAGCCATAGACCCTGCACAGGACAAGGATCATTATCATGAAAAAAACATCATGAGGAGGCCATACCCTTAAAAGAAAAACCAAATACCACACAAGGATAGATGAGGAAAAAAAACAAAACATTATATTATATCACAAAAAGTGACACACAAAACCTCTGTAGAGCAAAGATCAGAGTTAGAGTGAAGGATAAGGAGGAGGGAGGGGGCTACGAGCAAAGACATTGAGAGATAAGGGAAGAGCATCTGAAGCCATGAACTGTTGTATGCACATGCGTGAACATCTGAAACCGTTTGTGACCGGTCTCCGAACAGCACCGCCCAGCCATAGTCCAGAACAGTGATGGTATTGTTTGTCTGTTTCGACTTTTAGCAATGCTTCCAGATACCGGTTCACACACAGGAGAGGTGGGTCGAGCATCAGTCGACAAAATATCCATGGAGACTTTGATATTACCCAGCCTTCAAGGCCAAGTAGGGGAGTGCCAGATCAACAATCATAATTGTTTAGGAACAGGCTGACACTGAAGATTTGCTTGCAGCTTTCAAAGTCTCACTTAAAAAGGGCTGAAAAGGTGTCATGTAAAATGTAATGTTTGTTATTAGCTAATGTAGCATTCTTCCACGTCAGGATGTCGTTTTTGGAAGAACATTATTTTATTTCACATATAAAAAAATAAAAAATTCAGCAGCATTCAAGAAAAAAGAAAGGATTTTGAAATATTCTAAAAGAGGAATGGGACAAAATTCCTCCCAGGATGTGAGCAAAATGCTTCCCCTCATGCAAGTTAGCAAAAAATTTACACATCCGGTCCACAGGTGACTTCTGCCCAGCCTGCAAACGAGTCTCCCCAAGTCTATTATTATTATTATTATTATTTTTAATAGAAAAACTGATTTTGAATTAACTGAACCTTTTAATTTGACATTACTGAGTCCAGATGTCCATCCTTGGCGCTGTTGGGGAATAAAATACTTATTTGGTTTAATGACATGTAAATCAATGTGTAACATTTATTTAACGTGGTTTATTTGAATTTGTAGTTAATATTCTGAAAATCACCAATGAAAATAAACTACCGTACATATTAGAGACGCTTCATTTCTTTGTAACTGAGTAAATTTACGAAATAAGAAGTTATTAAAAGTATTATTTCTTCACTGTATTTTCATGAACTTGAATTGTTCTACAGTCTAAACTTGGTGTGTTTGTGTCACCTGGGCTGTCTCTTCAAAGATATCTTCATCCTCAGAGGAGGCGGAGCCAGGATGGGAGGAGTCAGAGCTCCCCTCCTCTTCCTCATACAGGATCCTCTTCACCTGAACACAATGAAAGAATGTGAAAAAGAAAAAAAAAAAGAAGTTTTGGACATAACGTGTTAGTAGACCTTTAATCTGTCAGCTTATTTGTTGCAAACTCATCAATATGGTGCTCTTAAACTGTTAATGATTGACAGATGGCTGCTAATGTATGCAGGAAATTAGACATTTTAACAGATGTGATGAATTAATGTTAATCTGTTATTTTGTTTTGATGCATATAATCCAAACATGAAATACCTGGACTGCACTTCTTTCATAACGCCTACCAAACACACAGAAATATCAATATAAAACTGGATTTTAACATGTGGACAATAAAAGAAGAGAAATCAAATCTGTTTCTTCCAAAAACTTGTACAGACTTGATATTTGCATCACTTTGAACTGAATTCCTTTGTCTTCCTCCACATAAAAAGACATAAAAAATAAAAGCATTAAAATAGCATGAGCATATGACCTCTCTTCTTGGACATAAAAATGTTCATGCACAAATCTTAGAATTTATCATTGAAAAAAAACAAAAAACAACAACAATTAGTTAAAATGAGCATATCAGCCTGTACCAGGTCTTTTCACAAGTCGTTCAGTTTTATATATAGTTTTTTTTCATGGAGTCTTTGACAACATCCTTCGTTTAATATAGTTGTTGTAAAGTTTTGTAATATTCTTAAAGAAACCCTAAATTACACTTTATCTTTTCCTTACATTTGAAGTGTTTTGCAGTTATATGTAACTTGCAAAAATACAAAGCTTTGTAAAATTTGTCCCAACAGGGTTATCACACTACATATCACACTAATCCTAAATGCCTCAAAGTCCTGACTTTTTTTTCTGGTTATATAATGACATCATCATGCAGAAAGTTGGCGTTATATCAACCTTCTTTGGCTTGATCTTGTGCTATTTCTGACCAGTCTGTCAACCAATCAGAGCAGGTTGGGCTTTTCATGAGGGGAGGTGGTGAGTTCAAGAGAAAAGGAAAACAAAGTTTCAGGCTGAAAGTAACAAGTGGTGCTACAACAGTTTCTATTAGAAAGATGCTGTATGTTTTAATACAGAAATTCAATTCAAATTCTATTCAAAAATACTTTATTGATCCCAGAGGGAAATTAGGTAAAAGCATGTAGATCTAATGTGAATTTAAAAAAATCATAGAAGTGTAAAATAGGTTCCTAAAGCAGCATTAAAAATGTGGTTCCTGCTCAAATTGTCCCTCTGCCAGTTTGTACTTTTGCTGTTTTGGTAACTTTGTACCTGCTGTGGGTACAATTAGATGAGATATTCTATTTTCTCTTTGTGTCATGCACCACAGGTGCCCAGCCCACACAGGCTTACAAGACACAAAAAAACACATTCACACAGGCGACAGACACAAAAATTCTTTAAACAAAATGTGTCCTCTTCCTGAGGTGCCAGGCTTTTGACAAAAATACTGAAAAACTGAAATGCAAAATACTTAAATACATACTGGATTTTATCTTCATCAACTAAATAGAAAAAAAATCAGTTTGCTACAGTTCGCTGTGCACTTTCCTCAGCACATTTCAAACCCACTTATTACAGTGTATGTACTTTGCACATATTGCACATACACTGGTCCAGTTATCAACATAGCAACCGCTCCAACACTGAGAACTGAACCTACTACGAAAACATTTTTGAGTTGAAGACAGGCTTACATTTTTTATTAATAATATCAATATTAAAAGGTTATAAAATTCTAATAAATTTTAAATTGTTTGACCAATAACAGAAACAGGCTGAACTGTGATTTCTTAGACATCGGGGTAAAACTAACAAACGCTGACTACAACTGAAGACACTATTTGGCAGCAAAAACTCAAAAACTATTATTGGCATTTTTATTTGGAAAATAATGCGTAAAAGAAGAAATAAATAAGTGCACATAGGAGGACATACTGTATTAGTACTTTATAAAGGAAAATTTCAGTTTTAGTCTGTTAACCCTAACCCTAACATAAATGAAGTACTGCTATTGAACCCTTTGGAGTAAATTCACAAGTCTTGTCTTTATGTAAAGCAATTAATCTGAAATTTTAACTTCAGCAGTCATAATTTTTATAACTGTAACTAGTATTTAGTTTTTCAAGTTAAAATACACTATAACCATCAGTTTTTCTCTTTTCCAAAGCTGCATATTGAATAAAAGTTAACATGATTGGTCAGCCAGTTGTAGTGTCAGAATGAAGCTCAGAGCTGATTGGCTGATTCTAGTCAATCAATCACTTTTACCACATACAGGTGGGACATGAGGGGCCTGCCACACACTTTGGGCCATGGAGGGGTGTGAACAGAAAGATGACAACCAATCAAATCATCTGAACAGCCTATTATGCAAATTCAGTCCCTGGTAGCGAGGGTCAGACTATAAAGAGGCAGGAAGTACACGAAAACTGAGAATTTTAATTAGGTGTTTTTTTGGGGGGGAAACAAATTTAATTAACAGAATATGATAATCGATAATACAGGTATAAAATAAAATAAACATTTTGAGCTACACTCCATACCAGTAGGTGGCGGTAATGCACACCAAACATTTCCTTTCAACCACCAATGAAAAAAACAAGAAGAAGAAGAACAAACGGGGAATGGACCACAGCGGTACATTGAGGGTTAAGGGGTTAAGCTAATTCTTTTTGAAAAGCTGTGCTTTACAACAGATGCCATCTCAATACCTTTAACAAAAATAAATAAATAAATAAAATAAAAAAATAAAGTTGTGTCCAACTAAATGCTGCCCACTTTATGTCTGATCTGCTTAAAATAAAAACAACTGATTGACACCATTTTACTGTAACTCAATATATTTCAGTCAATTCCAGATCAATCTATTAAACAGATGTCAATATAAAGACTAAATGACAATTAACCAAACAAATACTGTATCTAGCTGTGTGAGTCAAGATGAAGATCATGTTTTTAACACAATATCATCACAGTGACTTCACACTGTTTTATGTAAATTTAAAGCAACATCAGTCTTTTTAAAGTCGTTATTTAGAGACTGAGTTAGAGCTGCTAATAGAGACTTGACCTACAGAACTTCAGTTTGCAGTGAAACAATTTGCAGAACACATTAAAACACATTAAAACACAGTAATGCTTTGAACTAAAAGCAGAGTTGATTTGATGTGAAACATTAATCTGAACCCAGTGAGACATTTCGTTGATTGTTCCCACCTGCTGTGCCGTCATGCTCTCAGCCTGGCTCAGCGTGGCGCACAGCAGCGCCTGGAAGTAAAGATTAAAGCTCATGGCAGACTGACGGTACAGATTAGCCGCTCCACAAACACCCGACACTTTCATCAGCAGGTACTTCAGTCCCGGGCGAGTGTCAAAGTCCCGCGCTGTCCTGCGGATAGGACATCAACACAAAGCACAGCAGCTGGCTACAACTTGTAAACATCAACATCAACTGTCTGAGGTTCGCTCTAAGGTAAACATCAGGATCATGGCTCCCTACAGACCTGTATGAGTCCAGCAGCAGATCCAGGATTATGGCTAAATTGGTCATAGAGATGTAGCGGAGGAAGCCGGCTGTGGGTTTACTGGGGTCAGAGGTCACAGGTGTGATCCTCTCGTTGGCTTCAGGCTGCTTGACGAACTCTTCTAGCAAGATGTCGTAGAGATTCTGGAGCAGAACCTGGTGTGATAGGAGGCTCACCACGATGGTCCGGAACGGGATTCTGCAAGGAGGACAAATCCCATTCATGATGAAGAAAAATTTATTCTGTTTGCACAGATATTTAAATTTACTTTAAACACAAATGTTGGCTGAGCCTCAGGCTCAGAGATGGACTGTAATTGCTGAATTCTGAAACCGGTGGAGAGGAACGAGTTGTGTTGTTTGTTTTTAATAGTTGTGTGTGTGTGTGTGTGTGTGTGTGTGTGTGTGTGTGTGTGTGTGTGTGTGTGTGTGTG